TAGTGATCTATTATTGCGTTTGCAGCAAGTTTAAAAAATCATATTCATAGTAGAAAATAGTATAGTAAAAAGAAACTAAAGAGACTTTGTAAAGACTCAAATTATTTATCGAGATAGTATATAATTGATTTATTATTGATTTTATTGATTCTATTCTCTCAAAAATAAAGCGATTATTATCGATAAATTTATATATAAGATTGTGTTGCACGTTTTCGATATTTAATGAAAGACAAACAAAGTTTTCTATCGACTGAAGATTTATTTTCACTGTACAGTAGTTTATCGATTAAAATCTATAGTACAACTGGCTCTCCAAAGGCTTTCAGACATATTTCTATAAGACTCATGATAAACCATATTATTATAATCATTATTATCCATAAATTTTCTAATACTTTTACCATGAAAATAATCCTAGCCAAATGTGGTTTAACATCTCCATACTTTGCCACTATAAAATCCACAATAATAATAGAACTTTAAATCGGGGCAAACAAACTAATTAACCAAATGCATATATCTAACGCTAATTAACCCCCCCCCCCCGAAAAAAAAAATTAGCATAATTCAAAGCCGTTAATCGGCCCAATTGTTTCGCCATTGCGGCAATATGCACATCTGCTATAGCTACTGCCATGGATATGGATATGGATATGGATATGGATATGAGTGTGAATATGAATATGTAAGTGCACAGATGCACAGTTCCAAACGCGTTCTACTTCATGGCACTGTGAGCATGCCCCACTTTTCGGTGAGGGCATAACAAACGACCAATGGCTCCTCCTCCTCCTCCCTCTCCCTCCCCCTTTTGCCAGCTCACTTCTTGGCCACTTGTCTAAGCAAAATGCGTAACACACACAAGTACCAAGAGAAATCAAACAGAAAATCACTTTGGATTTAGCCAAAAAAAAAAAAAAAAAAACAGAAAACAAAAATAATGTTCACTTTGATATTTTAGCAGAGAAGAAAAATCATTAAAATCATAATTTATGCTGCACAAATTTATGAAAAACAAAAATTCAACAGAGAAAAAATTACTGCAATGTAATTAATGGTTTCAATTGAGCGAAAGAGTGGGAAAATCACAGACACAAACACATATACAATTTCCTTTTCTGATTTATTTAGCACTTTTGATTTATGATTTTTAATTTTTGGCCATTTTACGTCGTGAATCTTATGTGAATCTTACCAAAAGTCTGCGCCGCACCTAATAAATCTGCATTTGCCATGCATAATTTCTCACCGAATAAAATGTCAAATAAATAAGCAAAATAAAAAAATATGGAAATAAAGATGTGCTTGAGGAAATTTCTCAGACAAAATTCTCAAAAACAGGATTGAGAGAAAACCGAAAAGAAGTTGCTTAAAAATTCACCAAGGTTTTATGGGCATTTCTTTAACTTAATTAATCATGTTTCAAGGGAATTTGCAGTGATAAGAGTCGCATATATTTATTTATTATATTTTTGTTATACAGTTTTATAATCTTGTTATACTGATTGATCATTAAGTATTCATAAAAGTGTTGTAATGATTTGTATAACATCACTGATAACTATAGGTCCCCCTTTTTTCTTTTATTTGTTTGTTTTTCTTCTCACTTTTCACTTTTCCATTTTGATTTTTAAGTATTTTCGCATTTTGTAATATATTTTTGAGCACTTCACTTGTTTTTTTATTTGTTAATTAAGTTTAAGGGCCTTTTAAAATGTAATTTTTGTTTATGACTGTGTTGCTAATGTCACTTAATGTTGCTGCTGCTGTTCGTTGTTGTTGCTGTTGCTGTCATTGTTTTGATGTTGCTGTTGTGTTTTGTTTCTTTTTTTTTTACGCCCGAACCGCATACGAAACGAAAATTAAAAAAACACAAAAAAACCAACGCACAGCTTTTCTTTAGCTTGTGTTTTTTTTTGTTGCTGCTGCCTGCTGCCGTGCGGCAATTACTGCTGTGTTGCTACTGCTAGTGGTATTGCTGCTGCTGCTGCTGCTAGTGCTGCTGCTTTAGCTGCTGCTGCTGCTGTAGTCGGTTGAGTACTGGCACGAGCCGCTGTCAGCGAAACCAAACGAGCCGCCTTCGACCGACGAGCGACGTCGACGTCGGTGACGACGACGCCGGCAGCGAGAAAGTTTGCGTTTTGCATTGTTGCAGCGCTGCTGCTGCTGCTGCGAGTGAGTGTATCTTGCGAGTGAGGCAGAGGTGGGGAGCAGAGAGCGAGTAAATGTTAATGCGGGGGTGCTCTTAACAGCGCACTAACATGGCCATGTTGATAAGCCTGCTGCTGTTAGCATGTTGCATGTCAGTCTCTCACTCTCTCGCTCTTTCGTGCTGAAACCAATTCGTTTGTCATTTGTTTAATGACACAAATATTTGCACAAAGTGTTTGCATTTATGTATGCCGCAGCGGCAACCTGCCACAAGTCCATCGTTTTCAATTTCCATTTTTCCCATTTTTCGGCGTCAGCAAAGTTTTCCCCTCAATTTGTATATTTGTGCCATAAATTTTATTACCACTAATAGACTAATAATAATCCGGCTAATGATCGTCGGCGGCGGGGCAAGTTTCTCCGCAAGCTTTCAGGGAAATTGAATTCGTTGCTGCCGCCAGGCTTTTGATGGCTGTTAAATTGGGTTGAGCCTACAAGGACACTTGGGGCAGGCAAAGCTACCCCCGGCAAACGGCAAATAATATGAAACAACTAAATAAGGAAGTGACAACCGGAAGCAGGAGGAGGCTAAGGAATTTTCACTCAAAAAGGGGGATCCCAGGAGTCACTCAAAAAAAAAAAAAAGGTTTCTGAGTGAGACCATCGCACTCACTCTCTTTAACTCGTTGGTTCTTTTTCTTTCTTTCTTTTTCGCTCGCTGTTATGTTACAAAGGCAACGACACCGGCCGGCTGAAACTAGTTAAGGCCACACCAGCAGGCAAACAACCCTCTTTGCTGGCCACAGCCTCCCCCTTGATGCGACCACCCCCCGCCCGGCTCCTTCCCTGGCAGCTTAACCTATAAAAATTCCGCAACCACAACAACAGCAACATCAACACAAATGGGAACACACACGCACAAGCGCACACACACACACACCAGATCCACTCCACTCCACAGAACACAGAGAGAGAGAGAGAGAGAAATATGTTCTTATGCCTTTGAAGCTCTCTCTCGCCAAAATCTGGGCGCCTGTTACACACGCAACGAAGTTGCCAACACAACCTCACACAGCACAATTCACGCACACTCGCAGCAGAGCGTGTGTCTGCTGCTGCGAAGCTGTTGCTGCGGTCATGTTGCTGTTGCTGCTTGTGAGAGTGCTGTAAGTTTACAAATAATAGCTAAACTTTGTGACAAAGAGTAAATTAAAGCTTTCTTAAAGATTTGAGGAGAAAAATAAATTCACTTTAGCTTAGCATAATTAAATTTAATTTAAGAAGAAAGCAGTTATTTAAAGGAAAATTTAAATTCAATGAATTAATTAAATAAAACATTTAAAAAAGCCTTCATTCCTCAGTATTACAAAACAATCTGGCTAGAAAATAACTGTCAAAACATCTCAAATTGCTGCTGTGTCAGTGCCGTTCATTTGTTTGATTTTGTTGTGATTATGCGCAGTGCTTTGACGCTGACAGAGCAGTCAACGGCAGCAGAAGCAGAAGCAGAGGCGTCACTGTAGTCAGCGACCCATGGAGGGCATTTGGGAGCAGCAACAACAACAATTCCACTGAAAACGTCCCAAGTTGAGATACTTTTGGACAATTCACAAAAAGTGATAAGGAATGCCTGTTGGCACCTCGATTTTGGGTTCGAAAATGATTGGAAAATTGCATCAGAAAAGTTGAGAAGAATTATTAAATTAAAGAATTTGAGAATTAAGAGCCAGAAAAGGCCGAAAAGCTTAGAAAAAATGGAAATTATCATTGTAAAGAAAACATAGGTTTGGGTTATTAAATTATATCAAAAAATCATTAAATTGTTTCATAAAGTTAAAGGAAATTTTCTTTCTATAAATAAAATAAAGTATATGTTTTATTATTTAAGAAAGAAACAAAGTAACAGCATATTGTAAGTGCTTTTCTCTTAAATTTAACTAATTTTTTGTTTGTTATTTCCATCAAGAATCTGGCCAAATGAATTATTATCTGCTCTGCTTGGGCAATGCATATTTGTTACCACTTTTTTTATATACAATATAAATATATAAAATATATATATATACAATTTATACAATATATATATATTTTATTCCGCCTGTAGTCTATATTCCATATAGTCTGTTGCTTTGCCTCACGGCTGTTAGCCGTTGGCTGTTGGCTCATAAAAACTCATTGCCAGTTTGGGGCGTCGCTCAACTGGAAATGTGGCCAAGACGAGGCTGAAACTGTGAAACTGAAGCTACAGGCAAAGTCAGAGCTAGAAACAGAGACAAACACAGAGCTTAGGCTGCAGGTGTTTCTCTAAGCGAGACATCTCTTGCCTATAAATACCTATATATTAATAAACTATATAATATAAACATACTTATACATATTTATATAAGCAAAAATATTATAATAAAGAGCTTTCCTTTTAAAAATGTAAGAAAGAAGGAAAAAATATAGTATCTTTAACTAGAACTGTTTCTCAGAATTAAATATTAATAGTTATAATTTCAGTCAGAAGCTCAAAAATCAGTGAAGGAATCATTTCCGACCCCATATATCATATATATTCTTGATCAGCATCAACAGGCGAATCTATCTAGCTATGCCAGAAAGAAATTTTGGAATTTTTTTTCAAATTTTACATTGTTAAAAATGTCAAAAATTTGATAAAAAAATTTAATTTTTTACATTTTAAATTGACTATGCAGATTTATTACCCTAATAAAAACTAACATAGGACAGCTTTCCGAATTAAAATTAATGCTTTTTCGGCTTAGTTATGCATTTTTAAAACTTTGAGTTGAACACCAAAATGCCTAGACAGTAAACTATAATAATAAGATGCATAGTAAATATACTAAGGCCAGCTAACTTTTATTTCCAGTGTATTTACACACACACACACACATATTGTGCCATGTAATTGCGTTGAGCATTTCTTTGTGAAGCTTAATTAGTGGCTGCCAGCCTGTTTTTCACATTTGAGGTTTTTATAAATGGACATTCCGTGAAGCAAAGACGTTACAATAAACACTGTAAGAATTTTGGCACTGGACAAAACACATACACAAAATACAGACAATAGATTCCACACCCCGGATGGATCCTCAGGAATTTGGCTAAATAACCACGTTCTTGTTGGTAGAACCAGAATGATAGCGTATGGAGAACCGTCGAAAGGTGTGGGAGTTGATCTCCTTGGTGGGCGTGAACTCGGCCCGCTCGATAACGGCACCGGGACTGCCAAAGTTCAGCAGCCAGAATTTGAGCTCGTTGACCTTGGACAGAGTACCCTCTAGAACGCCCTTGACGGAGCCCTCATCGGTGTTCATCACCCAGCCTCGGACCTCGTTCAGAGTGGCCAAATCCTGGGTTTGCTTTCGCAACTTTACACCCTGCACTCGCCCGAAGACCTCGAAGCCACACGAGAAGATCGGGTCCATCATCATCATCCAAGTCCGGGAATCCATCTAACTTCTCTTTGAACTGCGAGTGGTGGAGTGTGAATCGAATGGAAGAAGATACACTTGAATAAATTTCGTCAAATTTCTTTAAACTTTGTCATATGGATTAAGGGTAATTCCTGCCTTTGTGGCAAAGCCTGCTTTTTGAGTGCAAAATGCTGCAGAAACTAATATAAAGGATATTGAAGAAAGCGAAGCTAACCTCCTTTAAAAATCCCTTTTAAATAAAAATTATCAAAGGCAAACATATGCTCTAATTTCAGTTTGTAATTTAAACAAAGTAACCACCTGATATTCTTGAGTAAAATACAAGTTCCCCCCTTAATTTATTCCATATCGATTGGGTAAGAAACAATTTCTATGAAATAAGATACCCAGACGTTTCTAGCTACTTTTTAATCATGATTGAATTAAAATTAAGGAAATAAATATATAAAAATGTACAGAAATTGCATTTTCATCTTCACAAACAAACCCTGGTTGTATCGAGAAGGACGCTAATGACATTGTATCTATTGTATATCTATCGCATATCACATATCCCATATCAGCACTGGGGACTCATAAATCACTTGCCACACTCGCACACACACTCGCACACACTCACGCCAAGTTCATCTCATGGCAATCCAATCAACTGGCAATGCCACAAAAGTTTGCAACCACCAAACAGAGGCGCAAAACCCGCCCCCTTCATCACCATCCCCCCCTCCTCTCCTCCTCTCACAATACACAACACCACCAACGCACCACCTATGGGCAGCGAACAATAACTAGCGGAGATAAACAGACAACATTTGGCGTTAATGTAAACGCGAAATACCAACATTGATGGCAAATTCAATGGCAAATATTTAATACGATATTTATGGGATATATAAGAGTGTATATAGGGAGGGAATTTGGATAGGAATTTTATGTATTTGCTTAAGAAGCCTGTGATAAATGACTAAACAGGTAACAAGTATCCGCCCCATTGGCACCTTATACACGATGAGGGGGAAATATAAACAAAATGTGCAATTCATTTTCCAAAGTATGGAGATTATTATAGAAGCTTATTTAAGAAGTTCTAAAAACTTAAAGAACATTTAAAGAAATTTATAGAAAGTATTTAAAGGGAAATTCAAGGCTTTTACAACAGAGTAATGTTTTACAAACTGAATAAAAAACAATCATGGTATTAGCTACATTTTAAGTGACTAAAAATATGTGGAAATATCCCTAATGCTGTTGGTTTAACAAATTTGCTAGCAAAACTCACAGCAAATACTGTAACTGTGTCGAAAAACAACATGAAATCATAATTGCAGTAAGTCTGTAAGCGAAGAAAAGGGTTTATTTCCATGCTTCCATGGGCTATAGCTAAAATTATGCAAATATAATAGGTTTCGCTGGTTAGGTTTCACCAATACACCAATTTCAACATTTCAGCAATAACAAACGTTAACTTGTTTGCTAAGAAATAACGAGAAATAAATCATTGAGTATAGGAAATTGTTTTAACTTGTTTTGAAAATATTTTCCAAAAACCCTAGAGTATTACATGCTTACCAATACACCTATTTCAACAATTCCAATACACCAATAAAAGGCAAAAAAACAAAAGTTAACAGTTTTGTTTGGGAAAACTAAAAGTTATAGATAATAGCTTTAATTGATATGAAAATATTTCACAAAAGTCCCTAGTAAGTATTGCATGCTTCGTACACCAATAGAAGCCAAAAAATACCAAATAGCAAACAGGTTTGTTTAAGAGGAAACAATGAGGAAATACTCCTTAAGCTGTAGGAAATTGTTGAAAAGGCTTCACTGTGTCTTCAATGCGCCTCAAACTCCGTCGTGTGCTCATTCAAATGAAACAGCACGAGCCTCGGATTCGGATTCGGATTCGTTTTGAGTTTCAGTTTGAACCAAACCCCCCCCCCCTCCACCAGCCTCCGTTGCTGCCTCAGTCGGCGTCTCAGTCGACGCCTCAGCGAATTCGATATTGTTGTTGTTGCTGGCCACACTGGCTGTTGAGCCGAAGGTGAGCAAGCCAAATCAAACAAACCGAAGCGCAGCAAAACAACAATAAGAACAACAACAACAAAAGGTAATACGTTGAAACGCTTCAAGGGATTTCGCATAGCTCAGTATTGTGGCTATATAGCAATGGGTACAGGTATAGAGATATAGGAATATGGGTACAGTTGCAGTCAAGATAATAGCTCTCAAGATAAATCAGACGAAGGGGGATATTGGAAAGACTTTTGGATCTTGAAGAATCTTTAGATCATTTATTTATGGGATATGGTATAAGTATTTTAGATTTTAATAATATTTTGTAGGTAAATTATTTATATTTTTCTGAAATATATATTTTCATTTCATTATTTCAATTTTAAAGTATTAGTAGTTTAGTTGCGGAGATATTAAAATTTTAGATCCACGGTTGGTATTTCTTCGTTAAAAAACTAATTGTATAGACAAGCTATTTAAAAATAAACTACCTAATTTTTAATTGTCTTATTTGTTTATTATTTTTCCCTCAACTGTATATTTTACAGCTGAAACTGCGCTTCAATTGCGACAGCTAAAAAACAACAACAATAAGGTAACACAAGTAAACAAAACTCGGCTTCTCTGAAGGCAAACTGCGTGAACTGAGAGTGAGAGAAAGAAAGAAAGAGAGAGAGAGAGAGAGAGAGAGAGAGAGAGAGAGAGAGAGAGAGAGAGAGAGAGGGACATTCGAAGAGTGAGATAGAGTAAAAGAGGGGATCTTTCTCACAGTAAAGCGATAAAGTCTCCACAGAGAAATGCCACAAAAATAATACTCGAAAGGAAAGGTGAAAAAAAGGGAATCCTTTAAAATAAAAAACATATTCTCAAAGAAAAGTGAGGCCTTAAAATTAACAATTTTTTGCATAAGTAAAAAAGTTAAATAAATCAATTTCTGAAAATTCTGGAAAATTATATCAAAAACATAACCCCTTATTCATTCTCCCATTGCTTTAGACATTTTCCAAATTCAACACTCATGTTGCCATTATAATTTCCATGTTCCTCAGAAATGATATCTTTGAAAACAATCTTTTTTATGTGCAGGCCTAACGGCGCCAAGCCAAATACACAAATCAAATCAGAAAGCGAAACAAAAATAACAACAGAGAGGGAGGAGTACAAGAAAAAGAACAACAATTAAATTGAATTGGAAATTAAAAATAAAAAGTACAGTCCAAACCAAGGCAGCATATTCCCGCAGCATTTTTTCCCTCATTTTCCAAATTGAATTGAAATGCAAACGAAAGCTAAATACTAAAATTAGCTTAAAATAAGTAAAAGCAGACGCTGGCTGAGGAGCAATAATAACAACAAGTGAATAGAAAATCAAAGCGAAGCATATAAAGCAGCGATAATTCAAACGCAAAATGTAAACACTTCAAAGCCAGGCGACGCGGCGCGTTCGGAAAAGCGGTGGAAAAGCTGAGAAAATACCAACCACAGGGCGTAATGAGAGAGGCCAGTGGGAAGTGGGGAAAATCTATGGAGTTTTCAAAGTGGGGGAGACTTGGAATGGCATGGAATTGGAAAATGGAAGCGAGTTCATTTTAAATATCTTCTTACCACGCGCCACACAAATTGATTTGTTGTTTAATCCAAATGGCACAATTTTATAAATCCAAGCACTGGGAAAAAATATTAGATCTTTAATGGAAAGGAAATTGTAAATATAGAAAAAGTATGAGAAAGTCCTAAGGAAATCAAAACTTTGCCAGATAAAAGCCTGCAGCAAAACTAATTGAGAACTATAGAGCAAGGCAAGCTAAAATGCTACTTGAGAATTATAGTGAAAACATGTTTTTTGATTCAATGTTTTTTCTTAGCATATATAACAATATATTTCACAAGAAAGACAATGCTATCAACTGTTATACACACTTTTACACTCACACATTGCCGCTCTGAGCTCACAGCTTGTCCTACACTGCGTATACGTAACCCGTGATCTTGACTTCAGCATCAACATTCGGATCTCTTATCAAGAAATAACTCAACAATAATGATGCAAACAGTAGACATTCCATAATAACTCCAATATTCCTTGGACACCTAAATTAACTTAGCTTGGCTTAACTTACGGTTTTATCTGCACTTTTTGTGTGCATATTCGCACATAAGGAAGGGTATAAGAGAGGATGACACTCACCTGCAACGAGAGGAAAAGAGAGAGGGATAAAATACTGATTAGCCACAAATGCAGCGTAAACGCAGTGAGAATGATAAATCAACTGGCTAAAAATACAGCGACAAATAAAAACAACAACAAAATCACGTCAGCGGCCAAATAAGGCAAACAATTGCAAAAAAATCTGCATGTGGCTGGGCTCCGTCGCGTCGCTGTCGCTGTCGGCTTAGCAGTCAGCGTCGCAGTCTCAATCGAAAAGCTAAAAATATTTCACTCCGCTCGCTTAGAAAATCCAAAATTAGCTGGCATGGCGTGCGCACAGAAATCCAAAATGAGGGACAGAATTTAGAGGCACAGTGGGGCTGAACAAAATCGCTTTAAAATCGATTATCAATAAAAACAAATGTAAAAGCATTGAAGGCTTAGATGATACCAGTTTCTGGTAGCTTTATCTTAAAAATTTAATATTAATAATAATCAAATAGTGTACAAAAATTGGTACCCCTCACACCCACTGTGCCCTTAGGCTTTCGTGGCGTCACCGTTGAGCGGCGGCAGAGACAGCGACGCCGACGTCAACAGCGTGCGACAGCAGGTTGGCAGAAAGTCTGCCACTGATAACGGGAAATGGCATGCCAACAACAGCAAAAGCAGCAACAGCAACAATAAGCAGAGAGTGGAGCCATCGACATTCTCTCACATCACTCTCTCGCTCTCCCGCTCTTTCTCTCTCTCTTCTCTTGCCGGCTCCCAAAATGGGGCTCCGCACTCACACTAGCAACCGTAAGCAGACATAGCAGCACTCGCGATGGCCATGTCTTCCAATGTTCTCTCTCTCACTCTCACGCTGGCAACGCTCACGCCAAAATAAACAAAACAAATGTAAAGTGCGCCCCTTTAGCAATGTTGTAAGCACTGCAAAAAAATACGGACAGCAGTTTTAAGTTGAAAATTAAGAAACCTCAAA